GCTTAACGTCCCTCCCCTTTCAGAGAATAACTCCCTCTACCCCAGGGAAAGACCCAGAGTGAGGACTCTGCCAGGGGAAAAAGAAATGGTTTCAGACATTTTTTCCTATACTGCACTTTCCAGGAATTATGTAACTCTTCCTCTTTTGATAAACAAATCCACCCCTAGGACAGGTTGGGTTTTCAAGAGGAATCTAGTACTGAAACCACAACCTGGATTTGGGCAGGGTCTGTCCATGGCAATCAGAGGTGCAGGGAGGGCCCTAGCTGCCCTCAGGACAGACAGCCCAGCTGAGCCTCAGAGTGGGAACCTGCTTCATTCTTTTTAAGGAGACCGTGGTGGCCCCCATGGTAAACCTCACAAGCCATCCTAAGGACAGAAAGCACACCGGAGTCTCCTCCTGTTCTTTCAATCTGACTTGTAGATGTCAGGAGTCGTCTCGATGCAAGGATGAGAAATGCAGTCTGACTGGCATGAGAGAGGAGAGAAATCCTCAAAGGGCGAAAGGGAGCAGAGCAGGCAATGAAGCTGGGCTCACTTAGAGGCAAGCAGGAGGATCTTGCCAGAGAACAGAGGCCCTCACAGAGCCCCTCCGGAAGCACCGGCCAGGAAGAGACAGCTGAGATGAGGTGATCAAGGACCAGGAGGGCTGCCTCTGTCCAGAAACTCAGTGGCCAGGGGCCCTGGGGCAGACTGTGTGCCCGCTGCAAGTGCAGATCTGTCCCTTGGCCTGATGAGAGCCATCATGGTCACACCCAAGGGGCCTCTGGCCAGTGGCCTGAGAAGGGGACTCACCCGAAGGGGAGGGATCTGGGAACATACGCTTGGTTTGATGAGAAGGGACACAGGTTAGCAAGGGGAGATGGTATTGGTCCAGTCTGCCTTTGGCTGAGGCCCACTAACCAATCCCTCGGAAGCCCAAGAGTTTGTGGTCCAAGAACAGAGTGTCACAAGAAAGAGCCAAGACAATTCATCTCACTTCATGCAGTGCCCGATGGAGGCCACTCACAAGTCATAAATGGCAGAGGATGTACAACTGAAAGGGAGGAGTAGGAACATAATAACCTGAGCAGTGGAGGTGGGGGGTCAGGAGAGGGCAGTGTCCAGAGTTTGGGGCTTATAGCCAGACCATCTGGGCCAAGACCTGGCTCTGCCACTCTCCAGTTATGTGACCCTAGGCAACCTCTCAGCGCCTGCTTATTCAGTGGGCCATTGTGAGCATTCATTGAGATGATGTATTAAAATGCCTACTAGCAAAGTGCCAGGCACAGAGAAAGCAGACAATCACAGCAGCTCTCACGATCCTTTTATAAGGAGAGAAGAGCCCATCCTTAAGATCCCAGAGCACCTCTGCTCGTTGAACCAGTGGGCTGCACTAGCTGCCCTCACCCTAATGCCATCAACCCATCCTTTAATTGATTAGCCTCAGGCAACGTGGGGATGGGCTTGGGAGCTGTGCCTACAACATGTCCTCCATCTGCTGATCTGAGATGGGGCTTTCCCCTCACCAAGCAGAGCAACACTGCAGTTAGTTTACAGCAAGCCATAAGAAGAGAACAAGGAAAGGATAAGAAAGCATTAAAAAAGAATGATAATCAAGCCAATAACATGGCTTATGTCTAAACAAATGGGAAAGACATTTACTGCCCTACTGAAAGGCCAGGTCTCTGGGCTTAACTCAGTGCAGTTTTCAAGGATTACATCTAAAACTAATCAATTTAAAATATTAAAACCCAAAATATAGTCAAAGGTTTATAAAATGAATGCAAAGGAAAAATAAATCAGATTTCATAGAATTAATATCAGACAAAGAAGTACAAACAAATAATAAATGGAATCAAGATCATTTTGTATGGGACACACTTCATGATGAATCTACAGCTGTTATAAACTTCTATACCGTCGTCATCCCTCGGTACCCACAGGGGATTGACTGGGTCCAGGATCACTATGGATACCAAAATCCAGGGATGCTCAAGTCCCTTATACAAAATGGCACATTATTTGCATATAACCTAGCACATCCTGCCCTATACTTTAAATCATCTCTAAGTTATTTATAATACTAATATGACATAAATGCTATGTAAATAGTTGTAAATACTATGTAAATACCATGTAAATAGTTGCCAGCACCTGGCAAAATTCAAGGTTTGCTTTTTGGAACTTTGTGGATTTTTTTCTCCCCGAGTATTTTTGGTCTGGGGTTGGCTGAATGAACAAATGCAGAACCCAGGGGTATGGAGGACCAACCATATATTAAATAATGTAAGGCAGGAACTATCGGAAATGAAAGGGGACTCTAACATATATTTCTGTCCTTGATAGACCAGGTTGTTGAAAATGAATAATTTGAATGTTACAATGTAATTATAAGAGTAACTTGAGAGATTACATCTTCTTTTCCAGCATTCATGAAACATTTACACAAACTGATCTTGCATTAAACCACAAGACAAATACCATTTTTTAAAAACCTAGGAAGCATACGTGTCATATATTCTAAACCAGTGTTTAAAAAAAATTAGAGAGAAGACTTAAAAAACCAAAGCCCTTCACAGTGGTGTTATGCATAATAAACAAAAAGTGAAACAACTCACATGTTCATCAAATGAAGAATGGATACATAAAATGTGGTGCATCCAATCAATGGAATGTTACTTGGCAATAAGAAGGAATGAAATGTTGATCGTGTTGTAACATGAATGAACCTTGAAAACATGATGCTAAGGGAAAGAGGCCAGCCATAAAAGACCACATTGTACGATTCAATTTATATGAAATGTTTGGAATAAGCAAATCCATGAAGACAGAAAGTAGATTAGCAGTTGTCTAGGGCTGAGGGTGAGGGCGTGGGAGGGAGATGGCTACTCACACATGTAGGGTTCCTCCTTGAGGTGATAAAAATGCTCTAAAATTGACTGTGCTGATGGTGCATGACTCTGAATATACTAAAACCCACTGAATGTACACTTTAAATGGATGATACATGAATTATATCTTAATAAGGCCATTTGAAAAACAAACAAAAAACCCTCAAGCCCTAAATTAAAATTAAAAAGCCACTATGTTAAATAATACTTGGATAAAAGAAAAATTGAAACTATAATTACAGAACATTTAACGACTATCACTGAGTACACTACACATTAAAACATGTAGGATACAACAACAAAAGCAGCAGGTAAAGGACAATGGATACCCTTCACTGTTTTCCAGTTAAAGTGGAAATCATAGTATATATACAAATAAGCCAATCATTTGTCTACAATAACTTAAGGAAAGAAGGAGAAATGAATTATAAAAGACAAAAGCGTAAACTCCATATTTCATCAAATTTAGGATGTCTCCTGTTAGCAATTTAGGATGCGCCTTTATTTTATGTATCACTAAGAAAAACTGCTGCCAATTAAGCAATGCCACAATGCTTTGTTACCATCAGTTGAAAGATGTATCCCAGTTTCAGAGATTTAAAAATGCAAAGAGAAAGAGCACATCCCAGACTGATGGAATACGGCAGAAGCAGAAAGACAATCTGACTAATAAACAAACACAAAGTCCAATTCTTTGGAAATACCAACAGACATACCTCTGGCAAAGCAAATTATAAAAAGAAAGAGAAAACAAAAGTGCAAACTATTAGGAATGCAAGGCAAATATAACCACACATACACAGGAGGTTGAAATTTGTAAGAAATTATGTGAAACCTTGCGGTCAAAAAAAAAATTAAAGGAAAAAAACTTTATGCTAATAATTCTGAAAACTTGGATCAAATGGACAATCTTCTGCGAAGATCAAATTTTCCAAATTAGCTTTAAAAGAACTAGAAAATCTAAATAATGCTCATGGAAGACATCTAAAAGTTGTCAAAAATGTATCTCAAAAAAAATTTGCACTAAATCTCTGAAAATATTAGGGGTCACATCCATAAAATTTCTCTCATTATTAATACTATTTTATAACATAAGAAGATAGACAATTTTAATAAAATTAACATAACTGTGAAACCAAACCACAAGAAGTACTTTTCACCTGTCAAATTGACAAAGGAAAAAAAAAAGAAAGGAAAAGAAAAAAAAAAGCATATGAAAATACACAGTATTTGTGCACATGGGGAAACAGGCAATTTTGTCCCCTTCCAATGAAAATACAAGCTATTACAACCTCTATGGAGAGTGTTTTGAAAATACACATGAAAAGGCATTCAATTTTGCACAAGTTTTGACCCAATGATCACACTTCTAAGAATTCATTGCAAGGCAATAATCATAACTATATGTAGGAAGTTTCTGTAGCAGGGATGTCCACTGCAAAATTTTAACAGCAAAAATGTAGGAACAACTTATAAATGTCAATATTAGAGAGCAGGTTCCAGTTGGACAGATCCTTCTGATGGGACTGAGGCATAGTACAGAGATGCAGGTAATACCATTAAATGTTCATAATAGAGCAAACATACAGATTTTATATGGACCTCAACCAAGGAAAAGGTATGAAGGGAAATGTGATTATCTCTTTGTGGGAGAACAAATGATATTAATTTTCTTCTCTTCCTAATTCCTTATGATGAACATGTATTATTTTCTAAGCAGTAAAATCAATAATCATTATAATAACTTTGTTGGTACAAATCTTTTGTAACATATTAATAACACCCAGAGAACCAGAATAGAGGGGTTTGGGCCTCACTTGCCCAGTTCTGGAGGATGTGGATAAACCGGTAAGAGTCACGTGACCCTTCTAAGCCACAGGCGGGGAGGCTTGGGATTCACAGGTCATTTGTATAAGCAGCAGAATTCTCTTGTTTCAAGGCCCCCATCAAGGTTCCCATCCTCAGGAGGCATCAAAAGTCTACTTCAGCCCAACCAGCCAGCCAATTACCCTTTCATTCATGGCCCATGCTGCTTCCTGGAAACCTCTCAAGTAGAAACTGTAAAAAAATCTTATCTGTTACTTAGCAGGTTTCTTTAAAAAATAATAAGCCAAATCAGACTCCTACCTAGATAAGGAATGCTGGGAACCATCTTCAGGCTTCGGATATATTCCCGAGTCCGCTTGTAATTATCTTCCTTAGACATCAGGTAGTCCAGTTTCTCAAAGGTGGTCTTGTCTTTTCGATTCAAAAGCTAGAATGAGAAAAAAAATACAGTTCTATGAGAGAGAAGAGAAATAAACCAGAATGAGCTAAAGAGAAAGGATTAACTGTGGGCGAAGACTAAAAGGAAACGTCCTCAACGGGACGTCTTCAGTGTGCAGAATCCTGGGCACAGCTAAGAATTTTAAGAGGCTGTTTCACATAGAGATGGAAAGGTTTTCATCGCCTCGACTTTGTCACTTTTCATAGACTCTCACACTTGGAAGACACTCTCCAAAGGTCCCAGTCCACTGTTCTAAATGACGCCAGAGTCCTCCACAGAGCACCCGCCTCCACGGGTGCACAGACCCTACAGCAGCAAGGAGCTCAGAGAGAAAAACACATCGCTCAAGGTTGCCTAGAGCTTTTTCACAGCCACATCAGGTCTCTTTCCTCAACATCTCTGCCCTTGCTGAAGGCCCCAGGAAATTCCACACGGTTCACCTGTGTACGTTGCATAGGTAGGCCATCGCTCCACCCTGGCCTATCTCCTCCAGATTCCCCATGGTCCACGGCTGGGTCATATTTATACTGGGTGTGTACAGTGTTTTAGTCAAAATAAGCCAAGTTCTTTTCCATATACTGTTGTCTAAGGGGTGATTTAGTTACACAAATACAGGATCAGCAGGCACCCACAGCCCAGAGATCCTTTATGACTGAGATTACTGGTATGTAAAGCTGGTCACCAGGGAAGGGACGTCTCAGTGTTTGTAAGGAGGCTTCGTAGAAGGAAGGAATATAAACTGAATCCTGGTTCTCCAGACTGGATGCTAAGGACTCATGCTGTGGGCGCCTTACATGTCCCCAGTCAAGGCCAAGTGCCAGGAAATGGCAATAAGTCTCCTTGAATAAAATGGCTTTGAGGAAAGGAGGCTAGGCCAGGAGAGCAGGCTTGAAAAGAGGGTCTGGGGGAGGTTCAATCGAAGAGTGCTGGTCTTGGCACAGCATGTGGCTGATATTGGCAACTCCCCCAGGTTCAGCTTCCAGGGCCAGTGCCTCTGGGATTTGAGATCCATGGCTGAGCCCAGAAGTATACATGCAGAGGGACCCTAGGCCGGGAGTATCCTTGGTCAAGTGTGGTGGTCTGTGCAAGGATTGGGACCAGGAGACCTGCCACATCTATCAGATTGACATAGGCCAGTGGTCAACAGCTCTATCATACAGCAGAGAGGTACAACAGTGACTGACCAGCTCCAAGTAAGTGGACCTTTTGTACAAGTAGCCCCTCTGGGTTCCGGGGACCCAGGTCTGCAAATCCCAGACTGATGCCATGTCTGGTGCATCAGGGAACCCAGGCTGCCTTGGCCAATTTCTTGATCCTCAGCCTCTGGAGTCACAGAGGATGCAGCTGTGCAACAGCCCAGCTGAGCAGCGACAGCTTAAGGACTTCAGAGAGAAGAGGCAAAAGAAAAAGCTGAAAGGAAGGTCCCAGTGCTGAAGAAGTTGAGGAATAAATAGCAAGCTTTTTTTTTTTCCATTGAGAAATTCAGGATACATCAGGGTGGAGACACTACACAGATGCTAGGAATGACGGCTGCTTAACTGGCTTGCTAATTTAAGGCTGTTATTCATCATACTAACAAATGGACAGGAAATAACGCCAGCTCCCACTTGCTGTTTGTAAAGCACCATAACACACAACTCTTCTGATCTTTACAAAGCCCAGGGACAAAGATGGAGCCAGGACTATTGTCTTTATTTCAAGTTTCTAATCACAAGGATTAAGTTATCCCTGGGGAACTTGATTTGATAGAGGAGAGAGATGTATATTCTAGCAACATGGTAAGTAAATAGAGACTAAGAACCCAGACAAACAGTAAGTAAATTATCGGTGAGGGAAGCGTCAAGGAAAGCTAGATAGAGAGAGTAATTTGAAATGAACATTTAAGAATGAGAAATTCACTAAATGAACAATATATACCCAGATCAGAACCAGATACTCGACTTGTGAACTGCCCCACTGTAAAGTTGAGCAGGACCCTCACCCAATTGGCTGGGAGGTCATCTCTTTATTAATGAAACCTAGAACCCCACTGAATTCTCTGGCAGTGACCCAAGTTCATTCAGCAGTCAAACAAATTCTTGTGTTATCCTGACACACACTGCAGCTGAGCCAATCTGGCACCCAGTGCTCACCTCTCACCCCACTGGGTCTCCAGACCCAGCTGAGGAACTGCCCATGTCTCCTGGCATGTCCAGCCTCTCTGCCTAGCCTGTCAAATGCCTCCATGCATGAGGCACCACAGAGGTGATAAGCATGTCATCTGTGTCCTCCCATGGACATGACCAGGGCAACATGAAGTTTGAGCCCCGGAGGATGTCCCTGAAAATCACCCTGCAGCTTGACCTCAAACCCACAACTGGGATTCTTCAGTGGGGTGGGACAACCAAAGGCAATCACATTTGCATGCTTCCTAAATTTAAAACCAAGCTCCTCTAGGCCACATCTCCCTCTGTTAAGCTTGCCTCTATATACACACCTACTCACCCTCCACCCACTACACACACTGACACACACAGTCAGAAGGGCTGGATCTGGCTACCCTCACTCATCTGCCCCATTCTGAGCCCACAAATGAGATTCAAGACAACATCAGATTTCTCGTAATACATAGGATGCTGGAAGACATGAGGAACTCAGAGTATCTATCTCCCAGTGCAAGTATTTGAATACTACTTGAGAACTTCCCCTTAGCAAAATGAAAGAATAAAGCAAGTACATGAAGATATGGGATATAGGAAACAGTGGATCCAATCCAGCAGTAGTAAAGGGAGGTTCTGGGATGATAGATGGACAGCAAGCCTTAAGAACAACTTGGTCTACATTGTATCAACTCCAGAAGAGATGCATCTAGAGAAAGAGAAGGCTCAATAGACAATCCGACAGGACAAAACATTTGTTGGGGGGCATGGATATATTTGTTATATATAATAAAAAGTAAAATCAATTAAATAAAATAATTTTAAGATTATATATAATACATAAAAATCTGGTAAGATATTATATAATATTATATATATTATATATGTATATTTTACATATACACAGAAAACATCTGGTAGATAAGAGGTAGCTAGTGTAAGACTTTTCTTCTTAAAAGGGAATTACAAACTCCAGGGAAATAAAAGAGTATTTTAGAAATGACATATTATTCATAGTTAACCACTTGACTATACAGAGAACTATATTTACACATTCCTAATAAATAAAACATGAAGATTCATCTAATAAAAGTGACTTAACTATAATAATATGAGTGTCTTTACAGAATGAGAGGAAGCAGTTCAGGAAAACCAAACCAACATCTATCATACAAAGAAGTCGCCACATACTGTCTAAAGTGAATGGATCAAATAATTATAACAAAAACACCTCGGTGGAAATGCAGCAGAAACTACCAGAAGAAACTGCTACATAATGCTAAGCATTTGCCGCTGGGGAATGAGTAGGGTACAAAGAAATGGGGCAATGTGTATTTCTTGCTTCACTAAGCCTTTCAGTATTTAGTAATTTTTTTAAATTACTGTGCACGCATTATGCTGAAAAAAAATCTTTCCAGATATAATTTTTTAAACATAGGATCTATTTATTCAGAAATAAGAGGATTTACTTCCACATGTTTTAAACTTTTATTACAAGTAGAATCATAAATTGAAAACCTCCAATGAACTGAGTGAGGTTCCTTTAGATTTTAGAGTTTATGGAGAGCCTCAGGAAGAAATCATCAGAATTACACACTAGAAAACAAATTATTTGCCTACCTGAGTCAGATACTAAAAACATTCATGTTCAGGGAAAGAGGTAAGGAAAAGCTCACTAAATATAGCAGGCAACTTCACCTCTAATAAAGTTTAGAAATCTTGGGATATGCTGAGATTTCCTTCCATATTTATTATGATTGTGATTAATTATGCAATTACATCTGTGTTTCACTCAGCAAATGACAGATCCCATGAAGGAAGCAACCATGTCGGTTGTTTTCACTCCACTGTTCCCTGCGTCTGTCATGGTTCCTAAGACAAAGAAAACACTGCCTAAAGATTTGGTGAATAAAAGAATGAGAAAACTAACAATGATAACTTAAAGATTCAATTCTTTGGAAAATTTTGAACACTCCAGTAATTCTTGGGTAAAAGAAGAAATGAGAGCAAGGTTATGGACTATTTGCAACCTACAAATATATAGAACATACAGAACACTGCATATTAAACTATGTAATGAGGCCAAAACTGTCCTGAGAGGAAAATGCATGGTTTTTAACTCTTATAAAATTAAACAAGTAAGAATATAAATGAACTAAAATTCAACTCAAGAAGCTTGGAAAACAGGGGGCGGGAAAGTAGGAGAAATTGATTAATAGATAAAATTAGGAACTGATATGTTTAAAAAGACAAGATAAAACACCAAACCTATAGACATGATAACTAAACTCACAAACTAAATTTTATAAAATAGCAATAAAACAGGTAAAACTTCTCCAAATAAGGCAAAAATGCAGAAATACACAAAACTAGGATTGAACAAGGGGCATAACCACAAATGCAAAGTGAACAAAAAACTATAAGGTAAAAATCAAGTCCCTGCATAATGATTTTAAGTCATTTTCATGGTGGCAAGTATCAGCTGTAAGGGAAAAATGGGATTCATAAGCCACAGGGTCAAAAGCCAGGAAGATCACAGATCTTGGTCAAATACCGGAAGGTGCGGGCTGCTTTTGGAGATTTCCCTTATCATGCCCCGAGAGCCTGTAAGTGGTACTTGTGTTTGATTAACGATGAAAAATTCCCCTCTTCTGGTAAACAGTTCAAATCTGGAAGCTGTCTTCATGGAATAAAAAAAAAAAAAAAGGCCCTCCAAATCCTCTTTATGAGGAGTTTGGTATCTTGTTCCCTTGCCTTAAGAGAATAACATTTCTTGATACGTGGAAATGCTTTTCAACAAAGAGCCTGTTTCTCCAAATATGTTAAAACTGACTCAAAATTCTGTTTCAA